TTATTTTTGTTCTTTTAATTAAATATTCAAATAAATATATATTCATAACAATTTGCAACAAGTGACATAGATTAAATTTTAAAATGTAATGTGGCGGTGCGCTTACGTTACGGCACGCGCGCCTGGCCCGCGCGCCGGGCCCGCGCGCCTGCCACGTGACAAGAATAGTGCGCGGCGCCACCGCAGGTGACACTACATTTCTCGTAATTAAGATTCACCCACGCCTGCTATATCTATGGCTCCGTGGGTGGTCTCCAGCGAGTTTTCTTTGCTCTCGGGATAGTGCGAGCTTCTCCAGGCCACTATTCCAAGAGTGTTTTGAGGTAACAGTAGGGATGGGCGATATAGGAAAAAAAATCGATATCAAAAGAATCAATAAAAATGAAAAAAATCGATATTAATTATCGATTATTGCAAAAAAATCGATATATCGATATTATTTTTGAATTTTTAAAATCTGATAATTTTTATAATTTTCTTATATTAACAATTTTCTTTATACTAGCACCTTTATAAAATATTTAGATATTTAGAAATAAATGAACTTTTCAATGTCATCAAATTTATTTTATTTTTAAACAATTTTAAAAGTTGTAAAATGTAAATTATATTTATTTTCATTCTTCCATTCCTTTACCATGTTCCTTTAGATAATTGAAATTTGCATGATTTATGACTGCCATTTGTAAATCAATGTGCTCCTGCAAAGAAAAACTGTTGATTATTTCTGAAGACATTTAAAATAAAATAGATATAATTAAGGTCCATGCTCATGCACAAATTATATAATGATAAAATTCGTACCTGGATTGATTCAGTTAGAAAATCATCAATTTAAAAAGAAATAAAACAACCGACCCAAAGTCATCAATATAAAAAGCAGGATAAAGGAAAAAAAGAATCGTGCATATATTTCTTTATATTAAGTAAGTACAATATAGTTTTTGTTAACAATACATACACACAAAATACAATACAGTTTTTATTAAAGAAACCAATAAACCAATAAACAAATAAATGTGCAAATGTAATATTCAAAGTAAAAAAAATCAAAAATGACAAATAGTATTATTAAGTCAAGACAAGTAAAAAACAAATTAGAAACAATGAATGAAAGTCTAGATGCAAAAAAATAATTTTATTCCAATTTCCATTCTTCTTTTGAAAGAGATCCGAGAAATAAGAGTTGGTTCAAGTGCTCACCCGTTATACGATTTCTCTCATTGCTCTTAATGTCACCTGCCTCGGAAAACTTCCTTTCAGATGGTACAGAAGTACTAATAATACTGATGTATCTAATTGCCAGTTCGTACAGCGTTGGAAACGAGTGCTTTAAAGATATCCAATGTTGAAATGGATCGTGATGACGAGCAATCACCGGTTGCTTTAAATATTGTCTTAGTTCATGGATAAGATGTTCATCTTGTGTACTCTCATCAGTATATTTTGCCACCAAATCGTCATGAGCCTTCCAGAGACTATGTTCATTGGTTTCCTCAGGATTGCGTTGAACTTGTCTTTTTTCTTCATTTTTTTCCACACCAATCAATTTCATTTCTTTGTTGATTTGTTCTACAGCAGCAGCTGCTGCACGAGCATTTTGGAAATGGATTCGTTTGAATCGCGGATCAAGTATTGTAGGGATTGAAAGAATTTTATTGTTTTCGACATCTTTAAACTTTTGTTGAATGGATGCAAGAAGGTTTGTCTGGAAAAGAATTCCTTCGTTTGTTGAAGGATAAATTTGTTCAATAGATAGTGTCATACAACGAATGATTGGAATTATGACACTGCAAGTAGGATAGTTGCTGCCGCTAATTTCTTTGATGACACATTCAATTGGCTTCATGAGAGACACGACTTCCTGTAGAACTTCAATTTGACCACGAGTTAGCATATCTGGAATGTCTGTTCTTTTGCATTTCAAAGTAACTGCATGAACGTACTTCTCCAAAACGAGAAATCTGTCCAACATGTAGAGAGTGGAATTCCAGCGAGTCGGAACGTCGAGAATAAATTTCAACGCAGTTCCTTCTGTTTTTCCGTCATATATTTGTAATCGTTTTAACTCGTCTGAAGCCACAACACTTCTTCTGATAAGAGTGACAATTTTCTTGACCATAGTAATAATGTTGTTAATCTCTGGCATATCCTTTAATACTTTAGGTACAAGGTGAGACAAAAAATGTGCAAAACACCAGATATGTCTTTCAGGGCTCACAATATTATGTATAGCAGCTTTAATATTCGCTGCTCCATCACTGGTAATTGCCATAATCTTTTTTTTATCCAATTTAAAATCGTCAATAACAGAATTAAGACACTCCGCAAGATACTCTGCTGTATGATTCGTATGCAGTGGAAAGACTCCCAAACATCCGTTTTTCATGATAAGATTCTGAGATAGGTAATGAATAATGACACCCAAATAACTTTGGAAAGTACAGTCTGTCCAATTATCACATGTTAAGGTATAGGACAAAGCTTTTTCGAGATTGACCTTATAAAACTCTTTTAATTCAACGTAGCGATTCTCCATTAATTTGGTAATTTTTCTTCGATCAGGTATACGATAAAGTGGGGCTATTATTTTCATTAAATGTTTGAAGCCTTCTCTATGAACTATAGATAAAGGTTCTTTATCTTTAGCGATCATAAACATTAATGCTGCAGTAATTTTATCAGACTGTAGTCCTCCTTCTGAAAATAATAAACGAGCATTCAATTATTAACTAACGTTCTTAAAGATTTCACGGGTACTCTCTTTAAAAGTGCTAACAGGTTTACGGCTTTTTTCCATGTCTTGATACATTCTTAATGTTATGCCAACGTTTCATAAACTATGCTGAATCACGTGCTGAAATGATGTTATTGGCATAACATTAAGAATATATCAAGACACGGAGCAAAGCTGTTAGCACTTTGAAACTGTTAACTAATGTGCTTACTATTTATTTGAAATTCGTACAAACCTGCGAAAGATTTTTCCCTCTTAAAAGCCTCATCGATTCGAGATAGCTGATTCTCCTAAGCAAATCATTAATTTTAGGCTGATATTTTTTCATCATGTATTAAAAGATAATATTACCTTTGACAATTTTTTTTGTTTGAGTGGCGGATCATCAGTCGATTCACAACTAGATTCTGATGTTTCTCTTTTATTCGTTATGTCAGAACACAATAATCGATGGTTTCTGACTAAATGTGATTTTAAATTCGTTGTCCCACCACAATGCTTAACCTTAGCACTGCAAATGACGCATACAGCATATTGAGCATCCTTGTTTTCAAAAAATTTCCATACAGAACTCTTTTTCCGGATGCTGTAAATAATACAACTATGCTTATCAAATTGAAAAAAATAATGAAGTATGAATTAATTGCAATTTTTACCAAGAATTATTTTCCTCTGCAACTAATTTATTCATACAATCTTTAGAAGCACAAAATTTTTCATCTTGTGGATTGATAGTTGGTGTAGTTCTGTTGTCTGCTGATTCTATTCGAAATGTGGGATTAGAATTCTTGCTCGAAGATGGATCTGCTATTGATATATCATATGCCAGAGGATCTCTGTTTTCAGTAAATACTTGTTTTGGCATCATAACTTGTGTACTATAATAAAATAGAGAAGGAATTAAAAGTTATAGAAATACAAATTAAAAATTGTATACCAAATGTAGTAATTATTCTGATAAACTTACTAATCAACATCATTAATCGATCGGTACAAAACATCGACAGCTGGATTCCACTTTTTAACTCTCGAACCGTACATTTTTTGAAAAAATTCCCAAGTCGCTTTATCATCATCTAAAATTATCATTTCATAATAATCAATTAAAAATATTTTATTACATTATATCAGTTGTATTGATAAATTCATGAATAAGATACATACATTTTAATTGAAGATATGCAGGTTTAGTCAATCCTCTTTTAGCGAAGGAAGGCTGATCATTAATACGAAAATAAATCGTATGTACTTGACGTATGATACTAGACTCTGTTAGATAAAAAGAAATAAATAAAACTAAATTTCAAATTCAATCAAATTCGATAATGATAGACATAAGTTTGAAGTTTGATGATAAATTGAAATTAGAATTTTCAAATTATTTTGCAATATATCTATTAAAAAAAGAATATAAAACTAATTCACATCTTACCTTCCTCTTCACACATTTTCACATATATGTCTATCAACAATATATAAATGTCTTAATGTAGGAACTGCTTCTTAAAGAACTTATATGCTTAATGCTTTCTAGGCAATGGCTTAACAAATCTCCCAGCAGAGACCGGTTAATTAGGCACCAATCCCTGAAAATATCAACAGATTATTTCATTTATTCGTTCCGTCATTTTTTGATCATACAAAGATCGCTCAAACAGAAGATGTATGATAAAATAGAAAATTAAATTTACATTTTTAACTATGTCAATGGAATCGAGATTCAGATAAAACTAACCATTAAAATTGTATGTAATAAAAATATTTATGTCTTTTAATAACGATATTTTTATAATACAAACTACAAAGTGCTAATATAACTTAAAAAATAGCTGTGACTTTATTTGCACGACTGATTCGGTAAACTAACCTGAAACTACTGCTTCTTTGCTTCTTTGTCTCAATCTTGAGTCTTGATAAATGCGGCAACTGATCACCTCAATTTGTATCCTAGTTTTTTTATAAAATTTACTTCAAATCCTCGCGTTCGTATATATGTATACGTATTAACGTAAATTTTCAAACTTTCGCAAAATAACTTTGACGCAATATTTAAAACCGTTATAGTAACATAAGTCATAAAGTATGTTCACTGTTCAGCACGCAAAGAACGTAACGTAAGTGTTGGAAGTGTAGCATTAGTAGCATAAGGCTGGATCCTTATGCAGACACCGGCGCTTTGACAAATTGACATCGAACATGATTGGCGGAAAACGAGTGGGTAAATAACGAGAGAATTCTTTCACTATTTACTCTCACTATTCACTAATCGTTTTCCGTCAATCAGCGTTCGGTGTCAAAGCGCCGGTGTCTGCATGAGGATCCAGCCTAAGACCCCATACACAATAGATGTAATTAGCCTTAAGACTTAATTCAGAAATTGAGCAATCACAATTCACAGTTGAATGTGAGAACTGAGAAGAATAATTAATCGACTATGATTGGACAATTTCTTAAAGATTGATTTTTAATTTCTTCATTAAAATTTTTAAATTTTAATTTTTTAAATTTGCTATTGTAAATAGCGCAGACTTTCGATACGATATTCACAAAAAAAATCGAATATCGATATATCGGCTTTCAAAAACATCGGCCATTAATAATCGATTTATCGATAAAAATTATCGGACGTATCGATTAATCGGTCAATATCGCCCATCCCTAGCGCGAGGTCGCCCTATATCCGAGATGTGGTGGCGTGGTATTAGATGGGCGCGTCCTTCGCCCTTGAATTCCGGGACGAGTTGGCTATCTCGCCCCGGCAGCTCTCGGCGATGGCCCCGGGTTCTGGGGAAATCGCCGGCCGTATCGCCCTTCGCGGGCCTCAGCCACAGCGCCCGCCTTCCCGGTCGCGTCCCTGGCGGCTCTGGTATCCTTGCGCGTAGTCACGCGCTCCGCGTGTGCGCGCTCTGTCACCTGCTCGCCGCGTGCCCGGTGCGTGTCCCCTTTGCTCCGGCGCCAGGTCGCCCGTACTCCAACTCCCTTCCGTTGTCGAAGGCCTTGAGTCCTCTCCGCTGACGCTCCGTTGGTCCGGTGAGGTGCCGCGATACATAGAAGAGGTTCAACGAAAATCAATACAAAGCACGCGTTTAAATTCGGGCCTCGGAGATCTCGGTCTCGCCTCGACAACGCGGCTGACGGCCCGGCAAAAGGGCGCGAACTCGCGCCTTGTGACGGCGGCGGGACGCTGCCTCGCCGCAGCGGACTGCAGCGTCACAATATATATATGTTATCGTTATGCGGAGTGACAAAAACGATCTCCAGCATATTCAAACAATTAGGGGCTCGGCGCCGGTGATCCTCGACTTTCTACCGCCACGTCTAGACATTGAGTCACAAAGGAGGTCCCGACTCGGTATCGGCTCGCTTTGAGCCGTTGCGTCATCAAAGGATCTCTGACACATTTATTTGCTTGCCAAAAGATCTACGACTTTATTACCGTCCAAGGCCGTTCGGTGAAATCGTGGAGTATTAACGGAGGGGGTAAGGGCGGCTATGGTCATAAGGGATCGGGCGTCGAGCCTCACTCAAGTTCGATACGCGGATCCGGAAGCATCTTCGGCCGAGTGAATTCGGTATCCGACGGATCGACTAATATTCAGTATAACCGTGCGAAAGCGTGTGTGTTCGAGCCTAGCGCGATTCAAGGCAACGGCCTTAAGCGTGATCGCGCGTCCGTCACATTCGCGTGGCTCGCGACGATATCATCCGAAGCGTCGCCTGTTAAATAGGCACAGGGTATTCGTCGCAAGGCGTTGCCACGAATCGGAAACAGGACACAAATCTACGAGCGATAAAGCGATCTCCGGATAACGCGAGGCAAATGCGCGCCGTATATCATCACATATCGTTGCTTCGTGAGTGTATATTGGATAACTCTCAAAATTAGACATTTTCGAGATTCGTGTTATACGAAAAATAAATAAACTGTCTTCACATACGAAACCACAGTGTAGATATTAATGTTATCTTCCTGACTAACGCAACAATCACTAAGATACGCATAGAAATTGCTGGCGATCGAGCCGATCAAGCCTCGACAACGTACCGATAGCCGAAACAAGGAAGGAGACTGTCGTCAAGTCGGCTCAGGATATGCGCAGATTTCTAATGCGCAGCTGCGTCGCGCCAATTTTGTAAATTTACAGCAAATTTTTATTGTAAATTCACAAATATTGTGATATCACAGTAAAACGTTACATGATTTGTAAATTTACTGTACTTTTTTATTGTAGGGGTATTGTAAATTTACAAACATTTCTAACAGTATATTATTAATAATAATGCAGTCCTACAGTTACAAAATCATTATACGGATAGATAAATATTGGAGTGCTACTACAAGTGTAATGTATAGAGTAATTCTAAAATATAGTAATATATAATCTATACATTTTCGGGAGTGAAATTTCACTTTAAGGAAATAAAATGTCACTCCTAGCGATCGTGAAAGTTGCGCCAGTCAGCCAGAAGCGAATATTCACTTTAAAAAGAGAGTGAAGCATTCACTCCGTAATTGAAGTGAATTTTTCATTCTTATAGAGTGAAAAATCATTCTAGGTGAAAGTTTATTTTAAATCCAATGCGGAGTAAATAATTTCACTTTTTCAAAAGGATGAAATATTATTCGCTCCCTCCTTAAAGTGAATATTCGCTCCTATCGGACTGGCGCAAACATTTTTTTTAAGGAAAGTAAAATCTTTTTGCAAAGAAATTTGTTGCAAGGGTATCTGTGTTATAAAAATATAATTTTTTAAATGTACGTAATATACTTTTTACGTACATAAAAATGTACGTAAAAAGTATATTTTACTGTATTTAGTGTTTTACATATTATGATCCTACACGTAAAAATATTCGTTGAATTAAAGTTGTACATTTAAAAAAATTATATTTTACTACACAGATACACTTACAACAAATTAATTTCTTTGTAAAGAAATTGCATTTTCCCTTTAAAATGTTGGCTATAACTTTTGAAAAATTGATAAAAATAGAATTATGAATATGAAATGAAATGAGTCTAATATAATTGAAATACGATACAATTTAATTAAATAGTTTATACAAATTATAAAACGTCATAAACACGTATACTAATAATATAAACACGTATATAAACATATGGGCCATTCCACGTGAAGCGGATCAGTCATCTCTCAGAAATTTTTCTAATTTTGCACTAAGGTAGTACTTTGGGAGATAGAATTTTGTGCCAAAGGATTTTTTTCTTATTGCAAAATTAATCGAGATATAAACAATTAAAAATTAAACTACTTTATTTTTCAAAAATTCATAGCTCAGTTATTATAATAATGCTAGCTAACTGCTTTTTTTTCAAAATACGCAAAAAATGTTCTAGTTTACGAGAAAAAAATGAAGATTCCAAAAATGTTTTGTTTTCCATTGTTTATTTAACAATAAACTTTTCAACAATTTTTTTAACAATCGGGGAGAGAGTCGAAAAATCTGAAAAAATATTTTTTATATACTTTCAGTTTTCCTATATCTTAGAAAAAAAACTCAAGAACGTGTTTTGCCTCGTTTTCGAGAAAAAAAATTTTTTTAGTTCTTGATGTGGGGAAAATCTGTCGAGAAAATCTCTCAGCATGCGACTCTTACAAAAACAGCCAAACTTACAAAATATCTCTACCATACTGCTAGCATGTTGTTCGCAGCCGCTGTTTTGTATTGACTGGACAGTCAATACTTTATAAAATCAACTTCACAATATTTAACTCTCTAAACAATTTTATCATTTATTCCGACGATTTCGACTTCTCGCTTGCGTTTTTTTTATTACAGTCTGCTGTACAGTAAATACCTAATCTTGCGTTATAATTATTATCAAGTATTTTGTTGCATTATAATTATATTATGTAATTATATTTTGTTGTATTATAATTATATTATAATTATATTATAATCATTATAATACAACAAAATACTTAATAATAATTATAAC